AGCTGCATACGCACCACCTCCTCCAGCCAAAAAGCCACGAAAGAGCACAACAGAGAAGCCCAAGGTTAAGGAGATTATTGATGAACGCACAAGAGGTAAGTGGCTTGCTCTAGAGAGTGACTTAAGACCTCCTGTGGATCAGGTTGACCTGGACAGCTCCTGATGCACGCTTCCCCCCCTCCCCCCACAGAGCGGCTGGTGTATGAGGTGCGGCAGAAGTGCCGGAACATCGAGGGTGAGTCAGTCACCTGAGCTGGGGGGTACTCCTAGCACAGAAAGCAGAATCTGGATCCTTCTAGCATGGGCATAGTGCAGCATTAGCACAGGGTTTTAGGAAGTTAGAATACTATAGCCCTTGGGCTGGGGAGATAGATAGCTCAGTAGAATAAGCACCTGCCTGGCAAGCCCAGGGTCCTGAGTTCAATTTCCAGTAACACACACACACACACACAAAATAGTATAGGCCGAGAGCCCTAAGTGCTAGGGCCTTTCTGCATGCCCTGCTCTCTCAGCGTGCTCCATGCACCATCTGTCTTCCTAGTGCTGTTTTGCTTTCCTGTCAGTGTCAAGGATTGGTCTCTGGGGGCTGAGGCCTGTCCCAGGGATAGCAGCAGAGCACCCAGTTTGGCCTTATTCTCACAAGTGGGTTTCTCTCACCATGTCCTATGCCTGGATGGTGGTGTTGATACTCTGGGAGAAAAATTGGCTCTTGAGGTTGAGACCATGGTGCACACTTCCAGACTTGCAGCCTGCCCCCTTGGCTGCTGCCCTGGAGTCCCCTTTCTGGAATTTCTCTGGGGTCTGGCAATATTCTCTGCAGTCTTGCTTCTTTGCAGATATTTGCATCTCATGTGGGAGTCTCAATGTTACCCTGGAGCACCCGCTTTTCATTGGAGGAATGTGCCAGAACTGCAAGGTAGAGACACCTCCTGCAGAGCCGACTCCTTCCCCCAGCTCAGAAGGATACCTGGTGAAATGTGATGTGGGCCTGCTGATGCCACGCTGGAAGCGGAGTCCTTGCTATGTGGAACCCTCGGGCTCCGAGCTTTTGGCTTATTGTTTGTGTCCTGAAGGATTCAAGCCCATCGTAGGCCCCAGCTGTGGCTGGTGGCAGGGGCAGGGCTCAGAGCAGTGCAGCCTTGTTGGAAGGGTGGGTATTGAGAGGTGGTGTCAGGACAGGCTGACTGCTAAGGGAGTCGCCAGGCCTTAAGGACACCCAGGGGGAAAGAGGTGATGGGCAGCTCCCTTCTCAGGTCTGGGGTTTGGGCCTGAGCCTCATTGGCAGGGCTTGTCTTCAGGGCTACCAAGCTGGTTCGGAGCCAGCCTCTACCTTGTCTGTGCTGGACTGTGCTTGGCAGTTTCTGACCCTCTGTCCCCTGCCTAGAACTGCTTTCTGGAGTGTGCCTATCAGTATGACGACGATGGCTACCAGTCCTACTGTACCATCTGCTGTGGGGGACGCGAGGTGCTCATGTGCGGGAACAACAACTGCTGCAGGTGAGAGCCTGACCTGGGACCTGGATTCTCAGCACCCCACTGCACCCGCCCTGCCCTGGGCTGAGTGCTGTCACTCTGGGGTGTGTTCTTTCTTGGCCAGACAAGGCTAGGATATCCCCGCTCACTGAGCCTCTTTTCAGGTGCTTTTGTGTGGAGTGCGTGGATCTCTTGGTGGGGCCAGGGGCTGCCCAGGCAGCTATCAAGGAAGACCCCTGGAATTGCTACATGTGCGGGCACAAGGGCACCTATGGACTGCTGCGACGGCGGGAAGATTGGCCTTCTCGGCTTCAGATGTTCTTTGCCAATAATCATGACCAGGAATTTGTGAGTGCTGGGCCTTAGGGCGTAGTCTCCCACACTCTTTGCTGAGACTTAGCCCTAGTGAGCACACTTCAGGGGATGCGGGACCTGGGCAAAGAACAGGTGTGCCTGAGCCCTGTGTGGGCTGCAGTCTAGGAGACTGAAAGCCCTCCCCGTGGGCTGGGAGGGCTAGCCCAGGGCGGCATGTGGAAGCCACTTCTGCACATTACCTGACCAGTTGTACTTCCTGCTTAGGACCCTCCGAAAGTTTATCCACCTGTCCCAGCTGAAAAAAGGAAGCCCATCAGGGTGCTGTCTCTCTTTGATGGAATCGCTACTGGTGAGTGGCGTGGATCCCAGGAGTACTGGCCTTTTTGTCCTTGGACAAGGGAGCTTTGTGTGTGTATGTGCACACATGTGACTGTCCAAACAAAATGATTGTTCACATCACAATAAAATGTATCCTAAAGAGAAAATTCTCATAGCCAGCTCTGGTTGCTACATCTGTAATCCCAGCATCTCAGAAGGCTGAGGTAGGAGGATCACCAGTTCAAACCAGTCTGAGCAACTTAGTGAGACTCTGTCAAAGTAAAAATAAAAAATTAGGGCTGGGCATGGTGGTATATACCTTATTATTCCAAGCACAGGGGAGACCAGGTGGACCAGCTTGGAATACTTAGTGAATTCAGGTCCAACCTCAACTGCATAACGGATACACTGTCTCATTAAAACCAAAGGGAGGGGCTGGGGAGATGGCTCAGTACAATAAGCGCTCGCCTGGCAAGCACAAGGGCCTAAGTTCAATCCCCGGTTCTGCCAAAAAGTAAGAAGAAGAAGAAGAAAATAAAAGCAAAGGGAAGGGCTGGCAAGATAGCTCAGCAGACAAAGCGCCTGCTTAGGCAAGTGCAGGGACTGGAATTTGATCCCTGGCACCTCATGCCGCAATGGCCCCACCCCCTGCCACCATGAGCTGACCACCAAGACAGCATGGTGGTGCGCACCTGTAACCCCAACGCTGCAGAGACTGAAAATAGGAGGATCACTACAAGTCTGAACTGCATAGTGAGACCCTGTACCAAATACATTTTTAAAAAGGGAAGGGATGTGGTAGGGATGTAGTTTAGTGGTTGAGTGTTTGCCTGGCATACACAAGGCCCTAAGTTGAATCTCCAGTGCTAAAGAAGCTTTCATGTTACTTGAAAAGTTAGGCAGTCTACAGACGTGAAATTTGGGTGGGGTGGGGGAAAGAAAACAACACCGGTGAACCAATCTCATCTGCAGCACAGGACAGTAGTAGTAGGGATTAACAGGCTTCACAATCTTCAAAAGACAGACTTGGTGGTGAAAACACAAACAGTTGTGTTGTGTTTTGATTATAAACCAGATAATCTAAAGACGACTTAAGTGTAGGGATTCTATAATTAACATTTCGGTGAGTGTCCTTTTAGGATTTTTTTCTGTGTGTTTGTGTATGTTTATATAATGTATATATGTCTGTAGATGAGTTAAACAAGATAGTAAATGCATACTGTTTGTAATTTGCCTCGTCATGTATTATGAGTACATCTCATGGCAGCCAGTAGAGCTACATTTGTTTCTAAGAGTGTCTTAATTTAACCCACTAGTAAGTCATTTCCTGTTTTTTCATTATTATAAGCAGCGCTGTGACAAGTGTTCTTTGAAATATATCTTTATATACTTAATACACGAGGCCCTAAGTTCAGAAGTATATCTTTGTGTACCTAAACCATTATCTCTGTAGGAAAAGCGCTTAGGAAATGCTGGGTCACCGTGTAGGCTCAGTGTGGCTCTTGATGCTGCTTCAGGAAAGCCTTCCTGAAAGGTTATACTGCTGTGTATATATAGTCCCCTCTGTCATTTCCCCAGGCTGAGAGCCTCTCTGGTCTTATGAGCAGAATTGCTGTCTGTAGAACTTGTGTCTTCATATGACCACAGGGAGATACTGGCAGTCTGAGTCCAGGGTCCTTGGCCAAAGGGCAAGATGTGGGTGGCACCCCAGCTAGATGTTTGTCTTCTGTTCTCAGCCCTCTACTGATGTTCTATAAATCTAGAAAGTTCACATGCAACTTTGGTTTCCTGTACTGGACCTTTGTAGCTTTCTGAAGTCATGTCACACCCATGATGGTGTCAAAAGTACCTTGGGGAGAAAAATTCCTTGGCTCCTATCAGCAGCCGTAGAAATGGTGCCATTGTCCCTCATTTCTCCTGAAGTCTTCCAGGTCTGCTCTTACTGTTTCCTTGCCTCAGGCAATAGCACTAATCACTAATAGAGGGGTCATGTTAAGAGGTCAACTCAGGAGGTTTAATGCATTAGACCTCCTACTTGTCTCAGGGACACTTGCAGTCTGAGAGGAGTTGAACTACTGAGATTGAGATATTAAGTACTGAAGACCTCCAGAGGAGGGGGAGATAATTCTGGAGAGCTGCTGGGCAGGGTGGTAAAAAGATGAAACCTTTTTAGAAGCAGGTGGCACTCAATTGATCCTTGAAGGTTCCAGCAGGAGGTGATAGAGGCCATGGAGGGACCAAGAAGATGTAGAAACTGTACAACCAGGCCACCCAAAATGTAGTGGCTGTTCTTCCCCAAACCACCTACTCTCTGGTCAGTCTTTTGCTTTCACTACCTTCTAGGTAGGCCAAACCAGGTCTGATCCAGAACCGCAAAGCTCTGGTCACTGATACTCCAGTTGAGGCAAGAAAACATTTCAGACCCCTTCCAGGGCACAGTAGGATTTGGACTGCAGCTGACCCCTTATGTCTAGCTGGTCAGAGGGCTTACCTGCTAAGACCAGGTACCAGGGCAGTGGCCCCAGGTGACAGTGCTCTCTGCTGGCTGGCACAGGGCTCCTGGTGCTGAAGGACCTGGGCATCCAGGTGGACCGCTACATTGCCTCAGAGGTGTGTGAGGACTCCATTACAGTGGGCATGGTGCGGCACCAGGGGAAGATCATGTACGTCGGGGACGTCCGCAGCGTCACGCAGAAGCATGTACGTCAGTGCTGCGGGATGCACCCCGCCTTCTCTTCCCCTGCACCCTGCACACTCGGCTCCTTAAGGCCGCCCTGCCCTCCTTCCCATTCTGTTCACTTGCTGTTTTACTCATCACCCTCCCCCCAGCTTCTCTCCTTATCTTCCATTTTTCTTCTTTGACTTGCAAGGGTAGTGGGCATGTTAACAGTAGGAATTTGGACTAGGGACTGTGGTGCACACCGATGATCCCAGCTACCTGGGAGACTGAGGCTGTGGGATTGCTAGTTCAAGGCCAGCCTGGGGAATTTAGCAAGAAGATCCTGTCTCAAAAATAACTGGGGATATAGCTCAGTGGTAGGTTTGATCCCTGGTGTACTGGAGGGGGCTGCGGGCTTAGGGCATACCTTAGCAGTAGAGCACTTGTGTAGCAGTTATGAGGCCAGTGTTGACCCCCCAGTAGTGCCAAAAAGGGGGAGATTTGGGAACTTGAATTGGGGGTCTCCATCTGCTCTCTGGGTTGCTCTCAGGGCCCTTTTGTGACAGAGTGCTTTGGATTGAAAAGGTTCCTGCACTCCCAGTGCTTTTGGCAAATGGCTTTACCTGCTGCTGTTTGGGGGAGCTTTGGTGGGGTCTTGCCTTGGGTCCTCTGCCCTTCAAGATTTCTGGGTCTGCCTTGAGTCCTGAGGATACTCACAGCCAGGACACCCCACCCATGGCACTCAGTGTGAGGGCCACCTGGAGCACCTTCCCACCGAGTAGCTGCTGGTCCTGCTTGGCTCGTCCTGGGTTCCCTGCTGGCCTCAGGCATTGTCCAGTTTGTGCTTCGTCACTGTTTAGGAGCTGAGTCCAGAGAGCCTCCGTGACTTTGCCATGTTCACAGCTCAGTTTTGTCCTCTCTGCCTCTGTCCCTGGACAATGGGCCCATCATAGTACCTTTATCCTCCCAGATCCAGGAGTGGGGCCCATTCGATCTGGTGATTGGGGGCAGTCCCTGCAATGACCTCTCCATCGTCAACCCTGCTCGCAAGGGACTCTACGGTAGGTCTTGTCCTCACCCTCCACCCCTGTGACGGTGCTTCTGCACTTGGGTTTCCTCCTTGGGTATTTCTGCCCTGGGACAGCTGCTCCCATGACCCTGTCTTCCCTTGCCCACCCCCATACCACTGTCTGATGCAGACAGCTCCAGCTGATGACTTTCTCTTCCGACCTCTCAGAGGGCACTGGCCGGCTCTTCTTTGAGTTCTACCGCCTCCTGCATGATGCACGGCCCAAGGAGGGAGATGACCGCCCCTTCTTCTGGCTCTTTGAGAATGTGGTGGCCATGGGCGTTAGTGACAAGAGGGACATCTCACGATTTCTCGAGGTATAGCCAGCAGCCTTGGTTTAGCCGGCCAGCTCACTAAAGGCTTGTACCTTGAACTGCTGCTTCCTTCCTGTCTCATCTGCATTGTGGAGCTGGGCATTGGGGGCTTCTGCCTTGCAAGGGGCCTATGTAGGATGTTCAGGGATTCCCAAGCTAGAGTGGGAGGAGCCAGTGTTAGAGGCCTCCAGAAAAAAAAGCATTCTCTGAGTGTGTGAGGTGGTACCCAATGTCTTTATACAGGTTGAGGTGCTAGGTGCCTTAGGATGGGGATTGTGTGTTGATATTACTTTAGGGGGCACCTTTAAGATGGCATACTCTAACCAGACTGTCCTGTCTTCACTCCCTGGTGGTGTGATGGAGGCTTTCTGGCTGGCACCTAGAAGAAAACATCCTTATCCCAATTTATATCCTATGACATGAATCCCAGTTCACTTCTTAACCAAGTGTGAACCAGGCACAGAAGATTTCTGCTGCCAGAGGCATTCTTGGGTGGACCACTGAGCCTTGGGCTCAGTAACACCTTGGACCTGTTGTGTGATGTTAAACGTGGGTGGGCATCTGTTTGGCTTAGAGTCTGGACACAGTGCACACACCCGGGCTCGCTGAAGCCTGTTCTGTCTGAAGAGTCTAAATGCCCCGTATGGTAGCCATTGGCCACATGTGGCTATTTACATGAAAAATCTGCCCAGTCCTACTGGCCTCATTTCAAATGCAGTTTGGCCACCCATAGCTAGTAGACTAGTGGCTGCAGCAAGGAACAGTGCAGGCAAACAAGAATTCCCATCAACACATCAGCACATTTGGACAGTGCTGGTCTGGAATGTTCCGTGAGAGCATGTGTATATGGCAAGGTTTGGCGTTTGTGTGTGTGGCTAGTGTTAATTTCAGCTTTTCCCAGGGGCTTCAGACTATCTAATATGTAACTGTGTGAGAGAGAAGTGTGAGCCTTTGAGGGCTTTAGGTTCTCAACCAGCAGAATCACTGAGCACTAGTTAATGTTCTCCCTTGCTCATCTTTAAACTGTCTCCTGTTTTATAGTCCAATCCTGTGATGATTGATGCCAAAGAAGTGTCAGCTGCACACAGGGCCCGCTACTTCTGGGGTAACCTTCCTGGTATGAACAGGTTGGTGAGCACTCCAGGGCTGGGGGCGGGTGCCATGGGTGGAACCTACAGATAGAATGGCCCAGAGAGGGGGGACACTGAGGGACCATCCTGGGCTGGCCTCTTTTGTTCAGTGCCTACTGCTCTTCTTGCTTTTTATCCCTTAAGAAAGAAGGGGAGGGGCTGGTGAGATGGCTCAGTGGTCTAAGGCACCTACTTAGAACAAGCTAAGCTAAGCAAAACACAGAGACCGCGGTTCAATCCCCCAGCACCACATGCCAGCCAGCCCTGCCCCCTGGTGGGCTGAGCTGGCCACACACACACTAAATAAATAAATAAATCTTTAAATTAAAAAAAAAAAAGAAGGGGAGTCAGGGCATGGGAAATATTTGCCTCAAGAAGCTAGCAACTGGTGGTATAAGCAGGATTTCCAGAATTGAATTTTAATCTGGCCACACTGGTGTACAGCTGTAATCACAGCTACATGGGATCCTTCTGTGAGAAAGTTGAAAATTTTCCCTGGTTCCGCCAAAAAACAGAAGATCTGGGGCTGGGGAGATGGCTCAGTGGAATGAGTGCTTCCCTGGCAAGCACAAGGGCCTGAGTTCAATCCCTGGTTCTGCAAAAAAAAAAAAAAAAGCGAAAAGTTTAAGCCAGCCTGGGCACCTTGTGAGACACCTTGTCTCAAAATAACATGGCTGGGATCTAGCTCAGTGCTGGAGTGCTGACCTACTATGCATGAGGCCCAGGGCTCAATTACCAGAACTACAAAAAAAAGCAAAATGCATTTTTATTTATGCACAAGAAAAGCCTGTGCTTTGGAGTTTGAGCTGCCTATCCTGCCTCAGTGTGTCCAGGGCCAGGAGCCAGGTGGTCCTTGGGTGCCCTTGAGGGGAGAGCCTGCAGGGTGGGGACTGTGGGAAAGGTGTGGCATCCAGGAGAGGGAAGCTGAAGCATCTAAGTTTGAGGGTTCTGCTTGTTCTCTTTCACACTGTGTTGGCTTTTTGTCCTTTGTTGGAAGGAAAGGACTTTCTTCACTTAAATTATATAGGTAAAGATCTTAATGTCAAGGACTGAAGACAATTTTTATTTCTTTGGGTATAATAATTGCCTGATAGAAAGTCCTCTGGAGAAGGGTTTTCCTGGAGTTGCTGTTAGAAAGCAGAGAGAAAACCACCTGATCTGACGACCCATTGTGAAGGATTGTATTTTCCAGCATGGATTTTTAACCTCCGTGGTGTACCTGTAAATAGAAAACATCATGTAACTTGGCTTCAGTCATTGCTCATTGCTATTCACTTGGGCTTGGAGGGCCTTTTCTATCCCATACCCTTTCTGTCTTTTGCAAGAGCTTGTTGAATCTGTCTTTTGCAAGGAGATATGCTTGTTGGTCCAGTATATCTATGGAGCTACTAATTCAGTGTCCTCTGACAGATTATGGCCAGTAGAATTATTGCCACCCACTTCTTCCAACCCTAAAACTTGAGGATTCTGAAGGTCTAGAAATAGCAGAGGGACCATGTGGGGCCAAGTAGGTGGTGCATGCAAGTAGACTGCAGTCAAGAAGGTATCTATTGTGACCACAGGCCTAGATCCCCATGCCGAGATCTGGAGTGCTGTGGAAACCTGTATTCAGTACTCCTTGGTGTCACAACAGTCAGTGAGCTTCCACTGTCTGGCCTGCTTTCTGAGGAGTATCACAGAATTTGAGTCCTTGGGTTGACTTTGTGGAACTTGAGTCTTTAACTGTTTGTGTACAAAGTGTACATCCAGTGTACACATTCATGAATCATTGCCACACATCAGGGTACAGCATGTGGTGGCACATGCCTCTAATCCCAGTGCTCATTGAGGTAGAAAGATCCCCAGGAGTTCCAAACCAGCATGAGCTACATAGTAAGTTCAAGGCCAGCCTCAAAAAACAAAACAAAAGCCCTCAAGATAGAGAATATCCTTTTACCCTAAGAGCTTGCTTTGTTGTGAGACCAAAAAACATTCAAAAATTACCAATTTTTAAAAATTGTGCTCTTGCTGGGTATGGGGTCCCAATACTTAGAAGACTAAGGTAGGAAGGTTGTGAATTCCAGGCCAGCCCAAACTACCTAAGGAGCCCTTGTCCTAGATTTACCAAGAGCCCCCCAGACAGGCCCCATCTGCCTTTTGGTAGTTTGAGACCACGTTTGAGTTTGTAAGAATGGGGTCTGACCCATGTGTCCATAGCTGGCTACAGTGTGTGATGTTTTAGGGGAGGCCTCTAGCCTGTGCATGCCCTTGGGAGCCAAGTGGCTGCTGGAAGTGAACAACCTTGGGGGGTCACCTTGCTGCTCCCCTGGTTTCTGCTGTCATATTCTGTCTTCTACCTTGTAGGCCATTGGCGTCCACTGTGAACGATAAGCTGGAACTGCAGGAGTGTCTGGAACATGGCAGAATAGCCAAGGTCAGCCCCACACCCAGGACCTCTGCGGGGGACAGGAGGAGGGCGGAGAGCAGGTTGAGGTAGAGGGGGTCAGGGCAATGTCCTGCCTACACCTCAGGGCCTGTGTGCTCAGCCAGCGAAAACGCAGCTTAGTGCCTGGTAGTCAGTCAGTCAGTTAGCCAGGGCATTGTCCAGAGCTGTTGCCTTTGGGCCTTCCTTCCCTTGTTAGGTTGCCACTAAGGAGGCTTTACCACAGTTCTGTGTCCCGTGTGGTCTTTAAAACAATATATATTTAATGTATTTTGGACCAAGGCACAGCAAGAGTCATCAGCAGGGGGTGTCTCCTAGGATGTATATTTCTCTCTGGAGAAATCTGTTGTGAACTCACAGGGCTTTAGGCTCTCTGCCAGTAGGTGTCAGGATTCAGGAGTTGATTCACAGTGTAGCTTGGAATATGGGACTCCTTTGAACCTACCCCCAAGAGGACTGAGCTTTTGGAAGACTTAGAAAGTGTGTAGTGGTGAGAGCTGCCACTTCCTTTCAAGCCTGACTAGCTGGATCGGACCAGGATGGCCAGGTGACCTCAGAGTGGGAAGAGAATCAGGACAAGAGGGATGGGGAGGCTCAGCCTGTGAACCCAGTTTGCCCTAACCCAGCACTGGTTGGGTGTGTGCTCATCTCTCTCCTCTTCATTTTCTAGTTCAGCAAAGTGAGGACCATTACTACTAGGTCAAACTCCATAAAGCAGGGCAAAGACCAGCATTTTCCTGTCTTCATGAATGAGAAAGAGGACATCTTATGGTGCACTGAAATGGAAAGGTACCTGCGTCACACTGTGTGCAATGTGTCCTGACTGCTTTGCTCTCAAGGATGGGGTTCCCGTCCTGCCCACAAATCCAAGCATTCCCCAGTGTCAGCAGAGCCCTGGAGGGGGACTCTTGGCTGGCCAGGTCCTTGTGCATTTTATAGCTGTTCCTAAATCAAGAGGCTCTAGGAGCCCCGTTCTGGTGCCCGGGCTGCCCGGAATTCCCTGTAGTACTTTAGGAGGCTTTGCAGCAGTGAGTGCAGGTGGACTGCACCGCCTCTGCACCCGCATTTTGCTCAAGCTGGACTCGAGCTGGTTCAGCTTCTTACTATATATAACTAGGATTTAGCCAGACAAAAAAACCATTTACACAAACAAGCAGAGCAAACAGGAAATCCTTGAGCTTGTGAAGTCAGATGAGAGTTCAGCTTGTTTTGGAGCTCTTCTGCTCTGGGGTGACTTGGAGAGGAGCATACATATTTTGCCTTCAGCCTTGAGCTGCCCATCGTTGATCTAGACCTTGCTTGCTGGGAAACTGGAGGGAGAGCTTTGTTGGGGAGGCATTTTGGAAGCCTTGTTTTTTTTATGAACACTTTCTGTGTCTGCTAGGTGTGAGTCTTGAGGCAGGGATTATGTTAACTACCTTGAGGCCCACCCAGACCAGCACACTGGCAGCCTAGATGCCAGCGGACATCCAGGCGAGTGTTGATGGGAAGGCAGAGAATGCGGAACAGGCTGGCCTCGGGAGTGTGGGTGTGAATGGTGCGCAGCTGGGTCCTGGCCGCCTGCACCTGCCATGTGGGCAGATGGCTTCGGAGCAGCCTGCACTCACCCTGCCCTTTCCGCTCTTGTCCCCCAGGGTGTTTGGCTTCCCTGTCCACTATACTGATGTCTCCAACATGAGCCGCTTGGCGAGGCAGAGACTGCTGGGCCGGTCCTGGAGCGTGCCAGTCATCCGCCACCTCTTCGCTCCACTGAAGGAATATTTTGCTTGTGTGTAAGGGACATGGGGCAAACTGAGGTAGTGACACAAAGTTAAACAAACAAACAAAAAAACACAAAACACAATAAAACACCAAGAACATGAGGATGAAGAGAAGTATCAGCACCCAGAAGAGAAAAAGGAATTTAAAACAAAAACCACAGAGGTGGAAATACCGGAGGGCTTTGCCTTGTGAAAAGGGTTGGACATCATCTCCTGATTTTTCAATGTTAATCTTCAGTCCTATTTAAAAAGCAAAACCAAACCCCCTCCCTTCTCCCCTTTTTGGGTCAAACCTTTTGTTTTCTTCTCTTTCAGAGGGGTTTTCTGTTTGTTTGGGTTTTTGTTTCTTGCTGTGACTGAAACAAGAGTGTTATTGCAGCAAAAATCAGTAACAAAAAACAGTAACGATGCCTAGCAGAGGAAAGGCCAGAGAGATGAGCAAAGGAAATTCTATAAAAATCTATATATTGGGTATTTTTCTTTTTACTATATATCTTTTCGTTATTGTTGTCTCTAGCCTGATCAGATAGGAGCACAAGCAGGGGCAGAAAATTAGACACTCGGGGGTCGAACTTCCTCCCCGCCCCTGAGCTGTCCTACCAGCACCATTCCTGGTCATGCAAACAGAACCCAACTAGCAGCAGGGAGACGAGATCACCACACAAGATACTTTTCTACAGTATTTCAGGTGCCTACCACACAGGAAACCTTGAAGAAAACCAGTTTCTAGAAGCCGCTGTTACCTCTTGTTTACAGTTTATATATATATGATAGATATGAGATATATATATAAAAGGTACTGTTAACTACTGTACAACCTGACTTCATAATGGTGCTTTAAAACAGCGAGATGAGTAAAAACATCAGCTTCCGTCTGGCCTTATGTGCAAAGGGTTTTAACCAAGGATGGGGAAAGGAACTCAGCTTGAAGACGGCTTACTGTCCAGGGGGGTTTCCCCCTTGGTGTTTAACAAGCTAAAGGAGGGGAATTGAGTTGCATTCCCTTGCTTCTCCCTGCCAAAAAGGGGCTCAGCCAGGGTGGTCAGAACCTGAGAAGCTGAGCGTGGAGTCCATCTAGCTCACGCAGTAACCTTTGAAATCTTTTAAAAAAGGAGGCTCCCTTGGCAAGAGGGCAGGGCGAGGAGTCTTCATTCCTGATTTCTCATGTTAGAGAGGGCTCCTTGTGGTGGGATCAGAAGTAATCCAGGTGTGGGAAAGTGACAGTTACAAACCCACCTGGAGCAAATAAAAAAACATACAAAACGTACTGGTGCTTTCCTGTCTAAGTCGCCTTTTGTGTGTTCTTTTATGAGGCCCCACGATCCTCCCCTCTGTGCACAAGGCGGCTCTGGGCCCCTGGAATGTGATGTTTTTGGTCATCTCCAAAGGCTGCAGTTTTATACTGGGAGGCTGATGACACCTTTTATTATAATTATTCTTATGGTTCTGGTTATAATTGTTTGTTTTAAGATTTTCTTTAAGAAAACAAAAGCCCAACACCCTTCCCTTTAGGTTTCAAACCAAGGTGCGGGGAGCAGGGTGCTTCTAAGGCAGTAGTGGCTCTGGTGCCCTGGTTCCTACCCCTCGGGCCAGGTGGGCCACTGGATGGCACAGAGACAAGCTGGGTGGCCAGGGAGTCCCCAAGGCCTGCCCTCTGGCTGGTCACTCTTCTCTTCTACTTCCCCTCCTCGTGATCAGGTGTGTCAGGGCCGGAGAGAGGCTTGGGCAGCCTCTCTCCTTGTGTGTGTGGTTGGAGTGGTGTGTGTTTATTTTCTAGTGTTTGGTCTGATGATAGCTGTGCTCTTACCTCGAGGCAGCAGCACCTGGGGCCCTATGTGCTCGCACTTTGTTCTGCTTCCCACTGGGGCTGGCAGCCCAGCAGCCCGGCATTGGTGGTGGGGAGGGATGGCGCTGTTGCTCTGGGGTGAGAGCCTGACAGGCGGAGCTTGCCTGGATGGATGGGGTGTAGATATGTGGCATATAGAGATATATATTTTATAATGGGAGGGGGGGCGGCACCTCCTGGGACCGGCAGAACTGGGAGGTGTGCCATCAAGCACATGGTCCCAAGTCCGCATCCCTAGAAAGATGGGGCCTATGATGATAGGCGCTATATAAATACATAGATAGGGTCATGTATAAGAATATTACACAGTGGGGGTGGAGGGAGCAGGCTCAGCTCTGAGCCTGCGTTCCTGCCACAGACAGAAGCCCCACACCAGTCAGTCCTCACACACGCACAGGAACTTGCTTCTGTTTGGATGCATATCGCGTGCACTCACACACACACCAGGGAGCCCCAGGCTCTTGTCCCCAGGATTCAGGACTTTGTGGAGTCAGCCCGAAGCTCTTTACCTCTGTTGCCCTGATTGCAGGCAGACTGTTGATCTCAGAAGTTGCTAGGTGCTGAAGGCAGGAAAAGGAGGTTTGATCGAGCAGGTGCTTCCTCTAGCAGGTCGTGTTCTAATCCCCTTTACCCCTGGTGATGTCAAAGATTCTTCTGTTAGCAACCTGTGATACTGACCTGCGACTCCAGGCACCGGTAAAGTCAGCCCTCGACTCCCCCTACCTATTCGCCCAACCAAAATCAAATTGACATCTGTCTGTCTGGGCTGTGGGGCTTCCATTGGGAAAGAAGAAAAAAACAAAAAACAAAAATGGGACTAATGCTCACCTTTGAATAAAACAGATCAGTAATTAGTAACAAAGTGAAACAGGCTTTGACCCCTTGCTCATCACTCAGGACTACACGGCTGGTGGCTTGTCTTGTTCCTCAGGGGTCTGTAAGTCCTGGCCCCACTCTGCTGGTTTCCTCCATAGGCAGAGTTGAAGAGAACACCTACTTGCTGCCTGCCAAGTTCCTGATGTGGCAGCTGCTGACTAGCCCCTTGGGACTGGAGCTGGTAGGAGATGGGGGACCTCTCCCCACTGGCGTCCTTGTGCTAAGTGTGCTGGCCCATCCCTCTTGCCCCAGCAGGGCTGTGTTCTGACCTGGAGTCTACCAGCACCGCTCCAGGAGGGCTGTGGGGAGGACGGCTGCTTCCGGCAGTCCAAGGTGCTCCCTCCCCCACTGGCCAGCGCCAAGGTCTTCCCGGCTCCCAGTGACAGGACAGTCTGTGGGCCTTCCTTTTCCAGAGCTCTGGCTTTCCCAAGCCTCTGTCCCCTGCTTATGTGAAGGAACTAGCTTTTCCCAGTGGCCCTAGCACCACCTTAGCTGGGGCTGGCGCTCTTCCTGGGGGTTGGTATGGGAACTCAGGAAGGGTTTGGTAGCCAAAGATGTGACAAGTCCAGAGTAGTGGGCTGGTAGGCTTGCTTTGAGAGTGGGTGCTGGACACAGGCCTCATGTTGTTCTCTAGTGACTCCCAGGATGGATCCCATTTAGGGCCAGGAGTTCATCACCAGCTTTTCTTGCAGCCCATCGTGGGGGCTTGGTCTCAGCAAAACTTGGTAGGATGTAGAGGACTCAGACTGTCATCTTGGCCAGGCTGCATTTTGCTCGTCATCCACTCCACCCCTGCCGGGGCTTCTGGGGGCAGGTTCTGGGCACTTTTCAAAGGGGAGCTCAGTCTCATTAGCTGAGGTAAGATCGTGGAAGGGGTAGGCAGGCTCACTGGGCCTGCGATTGATGAGGCAGGGAAACAGGCAGTGGAATGGGACAAACCAAGGAAGTCTGGGGAGAAGCTGGGAGGGTGACCTGGGTTTCCTTTCCAAAGAGTAGGTCTGTTTTCCCCTGGAATTCAGCCCTGGGGACCAAGGGTGATCTCTTCCTCCTGCAGGTGCCAAGTGGGACATGGTGCCAAAGACCCACGGCCCTTGCCTGGGGGAGGTAGCTGGTGCTAGAGCCAGGGTCTCAGAGCCTTGGCCTCCTGCCCGAGGAGGTGCTTGCTACATCCCAGCAGGGCGTCAGGCTGGCTGGTGCTAACCCCTTCCCCGTGGGACTGACTGGCACAAGAGCTAGGGCCTACCAGAGGGTCACAGGGGTCTTGCATCTACTGGCTTTCTGTCAACCCCAGAACCTCCCTGCTTTGGAACATCCTATTAGCAGATTTCCCCAGACAGCATCTAGGATCTCTTAGCTTTCCCGAAGGCTTGGGTGTGGTTGGTAGGCAGAAGCCTGTTTGCTTTTTTCGAGTGGCCAGGGTGTGGAGTGGCCAGGCAGACCTGGTGTGAAGGAAGTGGGCCTGACTGCTCCAGTCACCCTTCATCTCCAGCACCTGGAGGCCTGAGACAGGAGCAAGGCTGGAATCGAGCTGGGCCATCTGGGAGATGCTCTTACGGGAAAAGTAATCATTAGTTTTCCTGGTTTTGATTGTAAAAGTGAATACATAGGGGAGCTGTTGACTTCCTGTTGCCATCCGCATGCCGCAGGGCTTTGGTGCTCATGTCTGCAGAGCTGTCCTTTCCTGGGAGTTGTGGTGTGTACCCTGAAAAGTGCTTGGTTTAGTTGAGGACCAAAGAGCCACTATGCTGGTGAGAGCTGGGTTTCAGGGCAGGCCCACATTTTGGTGCTGGAGGCTTAGGGAGTTGAGCTTGTCATCGGACCTTGCTGTAGTCTGCCTGTGCCCAGTGCTGTGACTAGAGGGTGACATCTAGTTGTCTCCTGGGCAGGAAACAACTGGCACAAGAAGGTATTACAGAGATGACTTGAGGGCACAGTGGCTCTCCTGGCCAGCCCTTGTGCTGGGGTTGGGAAGTCCCAACTGGAAAGGGTGTAGGCCAATTCAAAGGATGAACTCCATGGTTGCAAGGTGTGCTTTGACATCTTTACATTTTGGTAAAGGAAAGCTGGGGTCTTTGGAAGTGTGGACCTCATACCTGTGGGTTTCAGAGACCCAGTTTAAGCAAGCCCTTTGGTTGGGGACCTGTCTCTGACCCCAGGCAGTGAACTGTGGTAGCAGGAGAACCAAGCAGGTGAACGCATGGAGGAGAGAGGCAGAAGGCCCTTTGCTAGTGGGAACTTGTTAACTTCCCGAGAGGCCCTGGACTCCCAAAACTGGTAACTGGAAAACTCCTGGGACTTGCTCCCCAAAGCCCAGTGTGGCAGCTTCCAGCCTGTCCATGAGGCCATGAGCAGTGGTCCAAAGCATCTCCGTAGTCCCATTTCACTTACAGGTCTATTTGGTTGCACAGCCTGAGAATTCAACAGACAACAAAAATGCTGAAATTCCTTAGAATATGCAGAGGGAGGAGGTGACTCAACAAGGTGCTAAAACATTTTATTAAAAATATATATTGTTAAATTAAGTCTGCTGTCTGGACAATGACTGTTTGTTTTGTTTTCTTGTAGTGGAGTTTAAAAGAGACTATTATTTTACTCTGATATATTATTATTAAAAAGGCATTTTAACTTTGTACTTGAAAACTAAGTGAGCGATTTCACGTGTTTTAGCTGAGGCATTGAAGTAGCGGGTGCTTACCTATTTGTGGGAAATCATGTATTCATACTGAAGAATAAACTCCGTAGCTGATTTGGTAATAACTTTTACTGTTACAGACGACTGCGCTTTGACCCCGGTGGCCGAGCACTTTTACTCCACATTCCACGCAGCTAAATGCAGGACCTCCCAGCCTTTCCCCAGCCCCAGCCTTCTTCCTTTCTCTTAATTTCCTGTTTCCTTTCTTCTTTCTTTCTCTTTTTTTTTTCTTTTTTTTGTTTTTATTTTTCCTGGTTCCAGCATCCTTTCACCACTGTATTTTTTTTTTTTTTAGGGTTGCTTCTCTATTTATTGACAATAATAATGTACATTTCACAGTCCGGTTTCTGGGATGCCCGGCCGTGCGGTGCTCTGTGGGCCTGCCGTGGGCGCCTGGTGTTCTGTTGTATCTCTGTGTACGTGATGCTCGTGACATAGCTGTTTATGAAATAATTAAAGAGGTCAATGCATACAGCAGATGTAGAAAGTCTGTCAGTTCCGCCTTCATCACATTTTTTTTGTGCCCAGAAGAATATAATAAAGCTCCTTTCTAATGTACTTGTGCTGGAGAACACTTGAATAAATGGACTGTTTTTGTGCAAAAAGAAAAACGGAAAAAGCACCATAATAATGTCCTTTTGTCTTGCGTCTCAT